TGAAAATACTGTTGATAAGAATTTTATGTTACTAAACAAAATGTTCTATTTTTAATAATTCTGCAAATGTTCGTCACAATTTGTAATACACATTAAAAAATCTATGTATCGACAATGATGATAGATTTGATTAATTATTGACACATAAAAATTAAAATTAATTTGTAATTAAATTTTAAGTAGACTCCTTAGAAGTGACTATTCGTTGTTAGAATTGGTGATATATCAATTCTTGAATCGTTGTGCGTAATTTGCAAAAGCCATTGATATCAAAATAGTGTTCATTTTTCTAAATTTTTGGAATGTCTCTGCGAAAATCAAAGTTTCTTCGGGACTGTTACTGAATATGATAACTGATGAAAAACTTGCAGCTGAAAAAATATGCAAATGCAATTCGATCCTTCATATTGATATCAAATTTTCAACTAAAGTCACTCTCAATTTACTGATACTATCTCTGTACGAAAACAATTTAAATTTCGATATAGTAAGATACGATTGTTTCTTGATTTGTACTTTGACACACGAAAAAGATACAGTCATCAGTTAGTCGATAAAGTTAATTGTATAAAAAGTTAGTGTTTTTGGATTCTCCAAAATTTATTCTTGTTCGATTTTTGCACAGAGTCGTATTGAATTTTAAATTCAGTCGGTTAACAACTTTTCTAGTAAATTAATTTTTTTATTTTTTGTATACTCGATAAAAATGTCTGACACTTCCTTGTCCTTTATGTGTACTAATTCCTTCTTTTTCAGCTTTTAATCCAAAGGATTAATTTTTGTTTCAGATTATTTACAAAAATTTTCTACACTGAATCCCTGTTTGCGAACATGAAGAGTCAACAATCTCAAGAAATTTGATTTATGTTTCTAATTGTTGTAGTTTCTGTTTCAGGAATCCTCTTGGGATCAAATTTTAAATTATTGAATTAAAATGTCGATAAAAATGTATTGTTATGTTCTTCTATTCTTATTGTATGTTATATATGTATGTTCTCTCATATTTCTGTTCCAGAAATCATCCTAGGATTGAATTAATGCTCGCTAAATTATTATAAATTATTAACTGTCCACTGATATGATATTGTTCACTGAGTTTCTCTTGCAGGGATCATCTTGGAATCAAGCTACATGTTCAACTGAATGAATTGTTTATAATCTATAAAAATGTTTTGTTATAATCCTCCCAGTTTCTGCTTCAGAAATCATCGTATGAAAATTTGGTTCACCCGAAGATCAGTATATGAAGGAATCATCATCCGCAGATTGTCATGGAGCCGAACGGGTTTAAAAAATAACTGCGTTATTCATGGGCGTATCCAGGTTATCAGTCAGGGGGTTGGGCAATGTGATTTTGTATTATTTAAACAATTGTTAATTCTTTATTAATTGAGTATATATCGTGGTAGTACGTTATTCATTTCACTAGAAAATGCAGTAATTTAGAGATGATGTATACAATAATTGTATAGTAGTCACTTTAGTATACACATTTCAATACATTAGTCTGATATCATTTATGAATATAGAGTGAAATAGCTCTATATAAAGAAAGTTAAATAATACAATAACATAACTAGAATAACATAAATAGAAATACATAAGGAAATTTGCAATAGCCTATAAATAACGGTCAGCTGATAAAAATAATATTCAAATCATTAATGTGTGCAAATAAGTCTCGTCGGTAAATTCTAATACAGAGTAGAAAGAACGAAAACCACACCGGTATGTTTATGATAGAGAGGAAAACGTGGTGGTGCCTTTCTGGATAGGCATGTGTAGCAGTTAGCGCAATACCACGAGACGCGACAGCACGTTTCAATCCCGGAACCAGTGTCGCGAGACACAAAGGTATCATTCGTATTTGCAAGTTCCATGAAATAGTGGAACACGTGTACTGGGAATCGCAATAAAGTATCGGTGCATAAAAAGAAGACGTATTAAGTTATGTCACCTGTGCATCGGTATGCACGCCCTAGTGAAAAACCGCGTGTTATGGAATAATTTAACACGTTGTGCATGTATGACCATTGAAAAGTGCATTGCGATTTCCAGTTATCGTGGCCGGTGTTTTCGTTGCCACTGGCAAAGAACGCATGCGGTTACGTACACGGGTAGAGTAATGAGACGTACTGGCGTGTACTCACGACCACTTTATGGAGTGTGAGCGTTAAATGCAGGGAAGGTACTACTGTGTTTCACCAGCATGTATTATGTATAAACATATTTGTATGGTAGACGTATATACTCAGAAGATTTGAGTATTTGTATTCTGTCCATTAAAAAGGGCAGGCCCAGAGTTGTCCATCTACTACTTATGTGCAGCATTTTGCTCCTCCGAAGGTACCCTCACTATGGGACTTGGATTGACTCACTCTAGTCAATTTGAGGTCGGTAGTCTGGGAAACCTACGAGGCGAAACACGTAATTGCTTGTGGCTCGTGGGCGGCATTTGTACACCTTTGGTATTAGTGTTAATTTTTATGATAGTTAGTCTGTTAATAAAATTTTATTTCACCCATTAGTGTGCTAATTATTATTTTCAGCAGTTATACCGTCATTTGTAGATAAATAACGAAATTCATATAACGTAAATTTATTTACTATTTAAATACAGTACATAATATACCAGTTTACTATGAAGTAGTTTAAGATTATTATTTGCCTTCATTGATATTTTTAAACAAACACGAATATTCGTGAAGCATCATTGACATTGAATTAGATCAGAAATACGTACTATCACGTTGCTCGAAGACAGAAATAAAAATTAAGTAGTTTCTTTTGACTGATGTATGAGACATGACAGACATGTACAAGAAGGCATTTCGCGACGGGTAGTTTTTTGCGTCAAAGTGACATAACACATAAAACAAAGATCAATATATGAAGGTTTGTCATCATCCACAGATTGTTATGAAGCAGAATGGGTTTAAAAAATAACTTCGTTATTCATGCGCGTAGCCAGGTTATCAGTCAGGTGGGGCAATGTAATTTTGCCCTTTTGGGAAGGGGGTGGGGGCAAAGTCCTATTTTTTTCTTCTAACGTAGTGCAAAACCGACTTTTTTCGTCCATGGACGGCGTGGCGCGGGGGGGTGGGGCATGTGCCCATGGCGTTGTTTGAACATTAGTTTCTGCGTTCCGTCTAGTTTAAGTTGTTCAATGTAAATTGTATGCATGTATGAATTATTGTTAAGTTGTCATTTTAAATTATTATTATTTACTGTTACATGATTTGTACAAGGAGAATAGGTGTGCAACTTGTGATTCCATCTACCCTCCTTGGGTCTCCATTCGCAGCAACCTCCACGTGGTGAGACCTGGGCAATCATTATTATTTGGTATATAATTGGCAACCATAATAACCTACAAATTGGCGAACTATATAGCAAATAATATGAGCTAATTGGCTGCGAGATTTTGCTTATTTTTATCAATTGATTCTTGTTGTTAGTTTCTTTACTGGCTAGCTGCAAGTGACTTTTTTAACATAACTGATAAAAAATAACCATTTCCACTGATCTTCCGTTCACTTGTGCGACGTAGCTAGATATAGGGTAGGCTTATACACTTATTTGTATGCACTTTTTTTTATCACTTTACTATCTCCGTTATTTTTAGAGATATTAAAAAAGTTTATTCGCAAAAATTATGGAGTATTGAAACATTTTATTAAAACAATATTATATACACCGCGCACATTCTGCGATGAAAAATATGCGAGTTAAATGTGACACTGTATGTATTCCGTTCCTTCCTTGCTAGGCGACAGAATAGGGTGCGCGCACGTGTGCGAGGTGATACATTGGAGCGAGGGGCGTTCCTAGTGATCAATTAACGGACTCTTAATTATTGGGCTTCTACTGTAATTCACGACTTCGCCGTTTTCATAACATAGAGGGCAGCAAAAAATGCTTGAGTGTTTGCACAATCAGTATTTCAGAACATGACACACAAAGTCCCATAAGATGATAAGTCTAGTCAATGTGTACCTCGTCTGTCCTACTGCCAGCTACTGCGCACAAATGAAAGGAAGCTTGTATCGGGACTATCGGGTGGCTGGGTCTTTTTTTCGTGTTCTCACCTTTCGCAAGATAAAAGAGATGCAAAATGATGGAAGGGATAACGGCGAGCTGTTAACGTATATGGCAAACCGAATTGCTATTGAAACTCTACCGTACCCATATTTTTTATGTGTAAGACTTCTATCCTGTAGAGTATAGAGTGTAGAGGATCATGCACTTATAATTAGTTATGGAAAATATTGCAAGTATTTGAATGTTATAAATTATATTACATTATATACGATCAAAAATGATTTCAGAGTACTTTATATACATGTATAGGCTCTCGCTTTCAGGTTACCTATATATGCAAATAAACTATTTGAGTTACATCTTTAGTTTATTAATAAGATGGAACTGTGAAATGATTTTGATTGTAGATAACTTTAATGTTAGATTCCCATGAATAGGGTTTTAACAGTTGTATGGCGCGTCTATTCGTTTATTGACGTGAACGAGTGCTGCTATGTGAACTTTGGGACATGAAACAGTATTTTGTGCATCGCTATTCTGTTTGTTCGGTAGGGATGAAGTCGGCACTAAGGAGAGTGGACAATAACTGGAGTAGCTTTCCTCTCTTTCTAATGGGGCTGTTGGTGGGGGACTCTCCTACGGCTGTAGTGGAGGCATCACATGCGTGCAGCATTCTTTCTTCTCATCGCCCTCCAGTCACTTTTTCCCCTCCCTCTGCGATGTGCGAACAAGAGAGGAGCTACTCCAGCGCTACTTCTGTCCTTCGGTCTTGCTTCATCTCTACCATAAGACCGCGCAGTCTATTATATATGCCTGTGGTTCAGACGTATCGTAAGCCGGTAACTTAACTTTAAAATTTCAGCGTATAGACGCACGCAGGCGCAGATCCTGTTTTTTGATTGATATATAAGGCTGAGGCAGTACAAAGGAAACATCTCAAGTAGTTTTTCTGGAGTCACGGTGGTAGTGGCATTTGGAACATGGCAGACGTCATTGATTGTAATTTTCCTGTTTGGGGTCTTCTACCTAAAAAAGAGACTGGTGTCACTCAATTTCTTAACAAATACCCTGAATATGACGGTCGAGGAGTCCTCATTGCAATTTTCGATTCAGGGGTGGATCCTGGGGCTCCTGGTATGCAGGTAAGTTACCTGTGTAATGACACACCTCACCGATTGTTCAAATCATTACTGTTTTCTCTTTTCTAATTTTAATCGAAAATTTGATATTTTTTCCCGAATATTATACGGCCTCGAAAGTCTCCGCTCAATAAATGTATATAATTGTTTCGCCGTCAAGTTTCTGTTTATCTTTTTTATACACAAAATGACAAACTTTCTATATTTCTGTTTTCAATGAAAATGTAAATGTTGTAACATTTATCCTCCCTTTTTTTATTTAATTTAATTTGTCTGGACAAATTAGTACAGATTTTGTTACAAAATTGTATAGTCATTAAGTACTAAAATGGAGTATATTAGTCACTGGATCTTACTGTTAAATATTTGCATATTTGCATTTATCATTTTTATTTAATAACATTTGGAGTATGATGTAGCTTTTGTGTCAATTATTGAAAAAATATATATGGATAAAATGATTTGAAATAGTATATAACAAATGTGTTTGATATAGGTAACTTCAGATGGAAAACCAAAAATTATTGAAAGGTATGACTGCAGTGGAGCTGGGGATGTAGACACTAGCAAAGTTGTACAAGCACCTGATGGATGTATATTTGGCATAACTGGCCGTAAATTAAAGGTACATTTCAAACAATTATTGATGTTTGAATTGAAACATGTATTAGATTATCAAGGTAGACCAACACAACATTAATCAATACATGTTTTATTTCATAAGATATATTATTTCTTTTGTAGATTCCAACCAATTGGAAAAATCCTACTGGAGAATATCACATTGGTGTAAAGAATTTATATTCATTATACCCAGGAAAATTAAAAGAAAGAGTTTTATTAGAACGAAAAAAACGACTGTGGGACAGTTCTCATAAAACTGCACTTGCAGAAGCATCTAGAGAACTACAAGTAAATAATTGCATTAAATATGCTTTTATATTTTTGACCTTGTTAAATCGAAAATTTGATGTATAAATTACAGTTGCCTATGTATTAACATATATATTCAAGGCAGAGGTTGTAAATAGGATTTTAGACCGTGTGATCCAAAGATAGGGTTGTTGTGGGTACATTAAACCATTCAATCAAATGAGGCCAGTTTCACAATGTGTCACAGTGATCTCTATCTAATGCTATATTTATATTTGGCAGTTTGATCTACTGTAAAGCCATTGATTCATTACATAATAGCAGTTGGTTAAAGCATCAAACTTTTTATATTTTTCTTGTTTCAGTTTTTGATTTATATGAAACGTATATAGCAATGAAATTTCTTACACTTTCTAGCAATATTTCTGAAAACAGTCAAACTACCTTGAACTATAAATAATATTGTATGAACATGTAATGTTTAATTGAGGCAAAGGCAATATAATCTTTATGTTCTATAACTATTGCACACAGGAATTCGAAGCAAAGAATCCACAGTTATCAACTTTAGAGGAAAGTCTGAAAAAGGAAGAACTTTGGGCAAGAGTTGAATTATTAAATAACTTCGAGAAAAAATATTTTGATTTAGGACCTACTTATGACTGTATTGTTTTTCATGATGGTGAGGTTTGGAGGTAAAGATATATGAAAGATACCTGTGGGTCTGCATGTGTGTTCAAAATTTATTTCAATGAACATTAATTTCTAATATAATCTTTTCACTTTTCTGTTATAGGGCATGTATCGATACCTCTGAAGATGGAGATCTGGAAAATGGTGTATGTTTGGGAGAATATACTGTGACAAGGGAATATGCACCACTTATACCAGAAGATCAATTAAATATTAGTATTAATGTTCATGATGGTGGAAACATATTAGAGATTGTTAGCTTAAGCTGTAAGTTCTAGTAAATTGGAATCATTTCTTTTTCTTTCTAGTAACATAAATGTTAAAGTAACATAAATCTACAATTCATTTTTTATATTACAGCAAGTCATGGTACACATGTAGCATCAATTGCAGCAGCATATTTCCCTGATAATCCAGAATTAAACGGCGTAGCACCTGGTGCACAAATCATTTCACTGACTGTTGGAGATAGTCGCCTTGGCACAATGGAAACAGGCACAGCGGTAGTACGAGCGATAATACACGTGATGAAACATAAAGAGAAAATACATGTGATAAATATGAGTTACGGAGAACACGCGCACTGGTCAAATGCAGGAAGAATAGGAGAGTTAATGAATGAAGTGATTGATAAGTATGGTGTGACATGGGTAGCATCTGCTGGTAATCTTGGACCAGCTTTATGTACTATTGGTTAGTTGATAAGATTTGATGAAAATTCAGTATGTAATCAATATTTTTTAAACACTGTGCATTTTCAAATTCTATAGGAACACCGCCAGACATTAGTTCCAACAGTATCATTAGTGTAGGAGCTTATGTTTCTCCTGACATGATGGTGGCTGAATATTCATTAAGAGAAAAATTGCCAGGTATGCCATATACATGGTCATCCCGTGGTCCAATGATCGATGGAGGAGTTGGGGTTACTGTGTGTGCTCCAGGAGGAGCTATAACCAGTGTTCCGAATTTTACATTAAGGAAGAGTCAACTTATGAATGGTACAAGTATGGCCAGTCCACATGTAACTGGTGCTGTTGGTATGTATACAATCATTAACATTTGTATGGGTGAATACTGTTTTAACTATATAAAATTAAGAAAATATGTCAAACTTGTTTATATTGCAGCTGTACTTGTATCTGGACTTCTTGCCAAAGGCTGTCCCTATTCTCCTTACAACATCAAAAGAGCTCTAGAAAACACAGCTCTTTATATACCAAATTTAGATCCTTTTGCACAAGGTTCAGGATTATTACAAGTTGAGCGTGCATTTGATGCTCTTACAACATACAGTAATGTTCCTGAAAGGGATGTAAGATTTTCTATTAGCTGTGGTGCAAATAATTCCAAAGGAATTCATATGAGGACTGGTATCATTGACCGACCAAAAGACTACGCTATTACTGTTGAACCTGTTTTCTTCAATACCGAAAATACTGGTACAGTTTTACGTATTCGTTAATGCAACACCATTTATTTTAAATGGGTTCATTTTATTGTAATATTTGTTTTTACAGACCCAGCACTTAAAATTGCTTTCAATTTAAAATTGACTTTGGTATGCGATGCACCTTGGGTACAATTTCCAACACATCTTGACTTAATGCACATGGCGCGCGCATTTGCAGTCAGAGTGGATGCCTCGAATCTGCAAGAAGGTGTTCATGCAACTAGGTAATGAACTAATAATGTACAATATCTCTTTAGAAATATTTATGATGTGTTGTACCTACACTAATTATTTTTTACAGTGTCAGAGCTTATGATGTAACAGACATTGGAAAAGGACCAGTGTTCCAAATACCAATTACTGTAGTGCAACCACAACCACTGCCAAAAACTGCTGTACTTCCAGACATTTCGTTTACAAACATTTTGTTTAAACCTAATACAATTCGTCGACATTTTATTCTTGTCCCAGAAGACGCAACATGGGCAGGTAAAACTTATTTTACACTCTAATTCAATAATATTAAGTATGCCGTACTAATGATTTTATTGTTCCATTCAGTTATCAGATTGAGGAGCACGGAAAAGGATAAAACTGGAAGATTCGTGGTTCACTCTATTCAGTTAAAGCCTCGCTTAGCTTGCAAGACTCTTGAAGTTAGCAAAATGTTAAGTGTTCCTTCTCAGTCTGAAACAGTTCACCCATTCGCTGTTCAGGTATTGCAAATTATTTCTTTAACGTAATTTAAGAAAAGCATACAGTAGTATTAAATATGTTTAATGAATTTTTGTGTAGGGAGGATTGATTCTAGAAGTGGTTATTGCAAAATATTGGGCAAACTTAGGTGACATGTTAATTGATTATTCTATAGAATTTCATGGTATCCATATGATAAATGGAAACCTTACAATGCAGTCAGGGGATGGAATAAATCGTCTGGAATTACGAAGTTCACTTAGAAATGAAGAAGTCGTTCCCAGTATCTCTCTCAAATCGTCTGTGCAAATCTTAAAGTATGTACACTATAAGCCTATGTATATATAATTTAAGTTTACTTTTCATTTTAACCGTATCCTTCTGAATTGTTCTAGACCTAATGATTCAAGAATCGTCCCCTTGCGGGAACGAGATATTATTCCACCATCACGACAAATTTATGAATTGCAATTATCTTACTCGTTCCATTCTGCAAAAGCAACGGAAGTAACACCAAACGCTGCATTGCTCAGCGACTTATTGTACGAAAGTGAATATGAAAGTCAAATGTGGATGGTTTATGATTGCAACAAACAACTTGTATGTTGTGGAGATGCTTATCCGTCCAAGGTATGTTTAATTTGTAAATGAAGTTTAGAGAAGAAAATTATAATTCATATGCCTTTACAGTACACTATCCAGAAGTTAGAAAAAGGTGATTACACTTTGAAGATGCATGTAAGGCATGAAAAGAAAGATTTGCTGGACAGACTAGTAGACATGCCACTACTTTTAAGTCAAAAGTTAAGTAATCCAATTACTTTGGATGTGTATGCCAGTCAATCACAAGCCATTATTGGTGGCAAGAAAATGGTAGCAGCTTCAATTCCACCTGGCCATATTCTTCCTTTGTACGTTGCTCCTATGTCCAATGAAAGCAAGTAAGTGTTCTATTATAACTCTTTCATTTTTTATTATTGTTTCATTTCGTACATTAAGTTCACCTAGTATTACCCAACGTTTTATAATGTTCAAGAAAGTACAAGACATTGAGTTACTCGTAGTTTATACTTATTTCTAAGGATACTTTATATATTTCTGTTACACTTAATACGTATATTAGCATTTCCTTTTTGAAATGTAAATGTTCAAAAGTTGTTAGGTTTGAAGCATTCCATAAATTAGATTATTATTTGCTTTAATGGATGTTAGTTCCTTCTAAATTATTCTTTAAAAATTGTTTTACAACCTTTTTTTAAGTAATTGTAGATGATTCGCTTTTAAAGTGCTACTAAGATAACATTTTTTTTTTCATCCCACATTGCAGCACTGAAAACAAGTGAGTCTATAGTATTATTTTTATAAATATTTTTGCACATTTACATGCTTTGTAGTTAATGAGAAAAAATTAATTCATTGAAGTAGGATATGACTTTTAAATACTAATCTATAATGATGTAGTATCATTATTTTCATCGTAAAGTGAGTTCTCTATTACTCTGCTGTAAAAATAATACCATTTAGAGTGTAGTTCGAGTTTTATGCAATATGATGTACAAAAATGATTACCAACTAAAACTCACTGTGTTAGCAAAAAGGTGCCATTGCATGAAAAGTGGTTTATTTGGTAAATGGTCTTCATTCAGCTGTCTTCAAACCATGCTTTCAATAAAAATGCATAAAATTTATTTAAAAAATGTTACCTGTAAATGTACAAATATGGAAGTGCAAAAGATTTCTTCTACCTGTAATAACTATAATACTTGGCTTACAGTACTTAATTATACATCTCTTCACATTGTGGTATCTGCAATACTGAATACTCCATGCTTTTAATGCTGTTCATTTATTTCCTCTTTTGATAATGCTTCTTTTTATCACTTTAGTTTTCTTATCTGTTGGCTTCTTTGGTATAATGCATCTCAGTAGCGAAATTTTTAAATCAACAGCTGGTAGTACCTGACTTGGAATGTAATTGATTTTTACTTCTCTGTTTTAAAGAATTTCCAAGGGTGCTACCTTAGGTAGTTACCTGCAGGGCACATTGACCTTCTGTAAGGACGATATTGGAAAGAGAGTGGACTGTCACTCGTTCAAGTATATTTTGTCTGAACCAACCAAAAAGAATAGTAGTACTGCCAGTAAAGCAGAAAAGGAGAAAACTACCAAATGGGATGAATATAACGAAGCACTTAGAGACTTAAAATGCAGTTGGCTTGGAAAGCTTGGTAATCCGATCTTTCCTCAATTTTATGCTATTAATATATATGTTCTCATCATTATGTTCATACAAATCTTTTGTTTTTCTTTCCGGTTTTAATTCTACAAATAGCGCCTTCTACGAGTAAGTTACAGTGTGAAATAAGATTGTTACAAAGATTATGTTTTAGATTCATATACAGCTCGATTTAGATATCCGAACTCTTTGTATTGTCAACCATTTTATTCCAATTCATGTAAATGTAATAACAGTTTCTATTGATCCATTTCTTCCTCATGACTTATATTCAAAGAAAATTGTTAGTAATAGTATGTATTCTATGTTACTGTGATAACTGAATGGTTTTTTAATATCCAAAATGATAATTTGCACATACAATATTAAATGACATAAAAGTTTTGTCATACCACATGTGCATGTCTTCCGTCTATCTGAGTACTGTTTTGTGAACAACATAAATGTGAATTTCTCTTTGTACTGTTAGACAATGATTAATGTATAGTTTTTTATGATAGAACCTGGAGAATATGCAAATTTACTATATGGAGAACTCAAGAATATCTGTTCGGATCATTTACCCGTTCACACTGCCATGTTAACTTCTTTGGATTCTCCGGAAGCCAGACATCACGTGCCACACGATTGCATCTCAGAAAGTGCTGTTTCTCTCGCGAATCAAATAATATCCGTTGCTGACGCAGTGATTACCAACATAGATCAGGATAAACTGTTGGCATACTACGGTTTGAAGAATAATCAGCGTGCCGATGCGGCGAAGATTAAAACGACCATGGAGAAACAGAAGAGCAGCTTGATAGAGGCACTAGTGAAAAAAGGATGTGCACTGGCACGATTGTACGTACACAATGTGAAAAAAGGAGAAGGAGATCGCGCGTCGTACGAACATTTGTTGGAGAGTGTTACAAATCATTGGCAAGAAGTACAGAAATTCGCTGAACCAACTGACAATAAGGCAAGAAATAAAATATTGTTGTATTGAAGCTAAATGGATCTCTTGAAGTTCTTAATTATCTAAAAGAATTTAGGTGAGAATAAGTGATGTCTTGTTACAGGTCATTATACTTTCTCTCTGGCATGCTCACATCAATAAACACTATGGACGTTACTTGAAATTACTGATGCGTTATAATGAAGAAAAGCCAATAAAAGAAATTGACGAGAAGATAATAGAAATTGCGGAGGAACTGGGATGGGAATATTTGGCGAATCATATTGTCTCAAGTATACCAACACGTTATCCTAGTTCATACATATCATTTTGATCAATGGTACGCGAATCATGCTTATGTCTTAATAAAACTTTGATATTTCAGTAATTATGAAATATTTGGATATCTGTATAATATTAGTAATATTATATTACTCTTCAGGTGTGATAGGAACAGACTAAGAAGAATCTGACATCCTGATGAGGGGAGATTAATTGCGTAAAACTGTTTCCGGTGCAGCTCTGCAATGACAAAGGCATTTCTGTCGAGTCATTCAGATGTATAATACATTTAGGAAAATTCAATTTTGTCGATATTCAAGAAAAAAGAAAAAAAAAGTGACTCTAGACAAATATTTTAACTTTTGAACTTAAAACAAATTAATTATATTCATGCTCACATATACAATTTACTTCGTGGAAACCATAAAAGACTAAGACTACCGCTAGGAGCAATAATATAAAAATTATCATATGAAAGAAGGAAAATATGTCAATCATTGAAACTGTTATCAATTTAGAAATTGAATTTTTTAAGTAACAATTAGTTACTCGAAAGCATTCGTTTCAACTAACACGATGTATATCATCCAAACTCATCTAGGTTTTTCCATTTTTACAATATATCGAATGTAAATATATATATATATATACATATGTATACATACATGTATTTTCTTTACATCCACAGAATATATTTTATTCTATTACATTCTGTTATTTATAATTGTACACGCGATTTATATCGGCATGAAATTTCTGTAAAATGTATTTTTCATTTCTGTTGAACGAACAAGATGCATATGACATATGTTTCACATTTAATGCAATATGTGCTAAATGCGCGCATGTATATAAAAGGAAAATGAGGAGTTAGTGTACACGTTTAAATTTTCTAATGAGTGCTGAATATAAATAGCTATTCATGTTTTTTCACAGAATTGTAACGAGGAAATCACTACATAATTAACATCTCGTAATAAGTCAATTCTGCACGTATTACAGTTACAACATTGCACGTAAAATGTAACAAATATATCTAGTTGGACTACACTTTAGCTTGAGTTTGAATTATTTCTTGGCGATGGCTTGTACTGTTTCAATGAAATGACTGATTACATAGATAATACATACACTAATGCGAGTTTCCGAACAAGAACTATAGTTTTTAACCACATGGTCGTTTAATTTAAATGTCTAATATTTGATTATTTTAATGAAGAAAAGAAGATGTATGTTTAGACTGCTCGTTGATAAAGAATTGTAGAGTATGAATTGTATTCAGAAATATTTCGGTCACCATTTTTTTAAACTGCGATCGTCAATTATATAAATTGTGATCGATTTGAATTTGGAACAAAATTTATTCATGCATATCTTCATGGCTTTTAACAGCCAAAGCGTAAATTTTTTGTAAAAATACATTCAACCAAGCTCATCAAGGAAAAATGCTTTCGAACACAAAATTTACAAGCAAAAAAGAGCAGGCGAACTAAAAGGTTGCACAAGGAGTTATGTCCTTGTCATCATCATCAAGTCAATCAGACTCTCACTTTCCTTCATATATAAAAGAACATGTTGGCAATTACGTTTCAGTATATTGGTACGACGAAGAATTTTCACAAAGTCGATATCCACCAGGACAAAAAAGTAATAAGAAAGTTTTCCATTATGTACTTACTATACTTTAACTACATCTGATAATATGTAATGATTATTTCGTTATTGTATTTTTACCCTAGTCAGTAAAGCATGTACTCTTATTTGTCTTCTCGTCGCCCAACGAATAACCGAAAAAGGATTATTGATATACGATGTAGAAACATCTCCTGAAATTACTAATCATATAGCTGAAGCTATGGTAGAGGGTAATGCAACTCACGCATGGATTGTTAAAAATGGATTAGTTTCTCATCCATACCTCAGTACAGAGGAAGCATTAAGACTTGGAGGCCAAAGTTTAAGTATATTACAAGAATGGGTATTAATTTTCATAGGTTCTTATTTGATTATATAGTGGTAAAATTATTTCTATAAATTCTTTCGTGCATTACAGACTTTTGAAGTGTTTTATGAAAGAATTGAAAGGGGTTTGCACCAACACATAAGTAACTTTTTAAGTAAATGGTACGCATCACCAAAGTCACAAAACTTGTTCATGCTTCTTATTACTTGTGGTCGCACAGTTTTATTTATATTTCAAGAAAAAACTTACATGGTAAGTTGTTCATTGAAGATAGCAGTAGAATCGTTATAAAATTTTTTTTTATCCATAGGTGACTTTTTTTGATTCTCATAGTCATAATACAATCACAAGGGCAAACAGAGGATTAGTTATTGCACAGGTAAAACTTTACATATAGTAAAATGAAATCTTATCAAACAGTGTGAAATATGTTATAGACTAATAATACAAAAAATAATACAGACGACTATAGATAAGTTGCAATTATTATGCAAGTGGTACATCGAGGATATATTAAACAAATGTTACAACATGAAAGCAGATCAATATGAGCTAGCTTTTTTATATCCAAAAGATACTGAATGCTGTGGATGTGGTTCTTCCTGTACCTGTGGGAATCATTGCAAAATGCATAACAACAATCCAATCAGATGACTTAATCTTTTATGTATGCATATGTAAACGCTTAAAAAACTATAAACACAGTAAAACGAAAAAAAATGGTAAAACTTAAATGACAGTGAAAAGTTCATTTCATTACTATGGTCAATAGGGTTCCACTTAAAATTTATTGTGGTCTAATAATTATGGAATTTCTCATTCAATGAAACATCATAGATTAAGACTGATAAATTTATTTACATTATGTACAATTTCTTTCTATAACTATTACAAATCTGAGTTCACGCAATGCTAAAACAATTAAAAGAATGATACACTTTAAACTTGAAATCTGTGTTTTTCTTTAGAGTATTATTTAGATGAAATGTAATGTTCATGATCATGAATTCTATTTTTGCATTGCGTAAACGTACGCCTGACAACATGTAGCTGGACTCATTTTATAATGAATATATTAGTCAGAATCTTTTTCATTTTATCTATTTCAATATCTTTATAAAATATAATCCGAAATTTGTGGACGACGTATCTTCGTGTTGCTAATTTGTCTACTTTGCACCTTTGAACATCACTATACCTAAGTGCATGTAATGTTTTCGATTTCTTAACTTTTAGCTATAAAGTCACGGAGATATACATATATCTTTACATTATATTTCTTTTAATCTCTTTGTATTGAATATAAATTAAAGCGATTAGTAGCATCGAAAATTCACTGTGTATTGTACTAAAAACTACACAAGCATTAATCACACATTGTACTGTAAAATAAAACGATAACATAAAATGTAAGATAGTATTAATTGTTAATGCTTTGTAGTACAAACAAATAATTTCTTATGAAAATGAAATCAGTTCTCTGTGAAATCTTTTTGCAAAATTTTAAGCTAAATTTGTTTTGTTTCTTTTGATTATTAAAGAAAACTATGTTTTATCTGCAATAATCATAAATGAAACTCATAATTTAAACTTGTAAAAAATTCTTAATTTATTTTCCCTAACACCTATAGTACCTCAGAATTACAATATAAATATTCTTTTTTAGCAATAAAACAGAAACAATCTTTTTCTGAGAAAAGATAAGTATAGCAGTGCCAAAATTGCATTACATTTAAAATACAGATTTGTTTTTCTCTCCGTACATTTTGTATATATATTACAAGTGTTATGTAGTGTCGTAAAATTTATTTAATAACAATTTTTAATAACGCAATTTCTAGAAATTAGTATCTACAAAAAGATATAAACAAATCTTTCTTAGAATTTTCCTTTGCAAAACCAGATTCATAAAAAGGAACACAATGAGTGATTCTTCCTAATGTTTGCAAGTATCATTGGTAATTGAGCAACATGTTTCACTGTTACTACATTCTTTTTAACAACAAACTGATTATACATCATATTACTTTGTACAGATGGATATATAATATTGAAAATTTAAACAAACAATAATAATGTTGCAAGGCTTTAAATTTAATGTGATTTAAATTTAACACGTTTCAATAAGATTTAATTTTATATGTAAGAAAGTAACGTTTCCTTCCTAAGCAATCTTTATATAAGCGAATTTTTTTACATTGCAGGGTTATAATACATTACGATTGACTCTAATAATTATAGTACTTTTCGCCTCACTGACATACTCTGTACACAAAGTAAAATGATGATCCTTTATCAGAAAAATATGATCAAGTATCACTTGATTATACGATTTTATAATTGAATAAATAAAGCTTTTTTCACAGGAAGTTATAGATGTATTAAGGAGATGTTAGACAGACTGACGAACTCGAGGTTGTGCCCACTCTACAAAATCATCTATCAATACAGGCCAAGCTCCCTCTTCGTCATAATTACTCATATCAGGATTGATCATAAGTGCAAAATCTAATAACAAATTCCATGTATCTTTTGGAATTGATCTCTTATGGTGTTCCTAGAAAACAGCATTAATAATTTTTAAGAATTCTTTTCTTTTTGTAATTTTTTAGTAACTAATTATTAATAGTAGTCATTTTTTTCAAATCTCTACCTGTAAAAATTGACACCATAGTGGCAGGAACTTGAATTTATCATCTAATACAATATTCCAGTAAGCAATTGCCATATCAAGATCTAAACCCTTCTGTCCTGGATTCTTTGCATAATTGAACGTGAAATGGTAAAAATCTTTAAATTTCTGAGGATCTCTTAATTCATTTTCTAAACTACTTAAACGAGCTTTTAATTTGTCTATACTGTCCACACTGAAAGAATATTTTCAATAAGTTGGTGTAAAAGATTATAAACATTATTTCTGGTGTTTTAAAAGAAAAAGAGAAGATATTTTTAAGTTACCCTAAATCCATCATGCCATTCATAAATTCATCTTTAGTAAATTCACATTGAGTTTCTGCTCTAAATTTCCAAGCAATGATTAATACTAATTTGCTCTCAGGGCTTAAACCCAGATCGTCCAGAAATTTCATTATTCCATCTGCTGTAATCTTGTCTGGTTCATTTGGATCTATTTCAATCACCAGATTAAAACAATGTAAAGATTAAGAAAACAATAGCAAAGTAATTTTATAATACCATTAACTTGCCTGTTTACAAATAAAAGTATGTAACAATTACCTTGATATCGACTAAATAATATTTCTAACTTTTTTTTATCCACACAAATTCTTGGTTCCTTATAATAAGCTTCAGGATTTTGAAAATAGTTATCACTGGCTAGATCCAACTTCCAATCATTCTGTGCTAAACAATATATTGCTGTTTGTTCTCCGGTTTGTGTAAATGTGATGAATTTTCTTACTTTGTCTCTTTGTGAGTACTTTAACTTATTCTGTAACAATAATGAAACACGAAACATCGTTATGATCCAATGTTAACATAAAATGATAGAATAAGAATAAAAAAAAATTGTAATTTGTTTGTTTAGTTGCACACCATCTTAAGCAGAACCTTTCGACGTAAACGTAGACACAAATCTACACAAAATTTCTTATTTCGGGGGCTTTCGTTACACTGACGTCGACTGCAAAGAGGATTCATAAACAAACGAGACTTTGTTACGTGTACAACAGCTACGAAACTTTGTGTACGATCCCATTGAAGTGATACTGCTAAATTCGGGATTTTTGTGTCAATGGTGCTTTTTATAGTACAAGTTTACGGGCTATTCTCCGAATGTCTTTACCCAAAACGTGTGTCGACGAATTGATTTGTATTTTATGCGAAGGGCACCATTAACATTAAATTGTGATAGGTTATTTCAACATTTTCATTACGTTCGCGTTAACGCCCGACACAGAGCAGAGATCTCGGTCTGTGAGATTGATCCGTGGAGATGGTCGTGTTAACACTCAACGTTCGTTTCGTGAGAGGCTCACCATTTTAGCTAATTTTAGGCCCCCGAAAGCCAAAATATTATTTCCTTTGCACTGCACTTGACATGAACATGCGCATGTTCCGCGAAGACTCCGAGAAATGCAAATACACCAACGGCCCTCCAAAGTAATGCCACCAGACGTTGTCGGAGGAAAGCAACTTCGAGGACAGCGTCGCGGGTTATTTAAAAGGTTTACAGTTTAATTTCCCGGGCGATGCATTTTTACCGCAGGGCTGATTGTAAAGAAAGTAATCGCCGGGAGCATCGCCGTGTAATTTTGTTCGGCGTTCGGTCGCATCGACGCAAAGATTTTTTTTTTTCGTGTTGTGAGACCGACTACCGTGTCCAAGAGTCCAAGTCGTCGCAAGAAACAACAACAGAACGTTATTGTGAACACTGGGCCCACGCAAATGAATGAACGCTTCACGAACTTGCGGAACTGTAGCACCCAGTGAATCGAATGAATAAATATGAACGTCTAATAAATACACCGATGCTTATAACGATGTTGTTCACGAATTTTTAACCTTGATGGTGGTTGAAATGGATCTGGCGCTTGGGAAATTCTGACAAAACTCGTCGCGTGTTCTTTTCGACAGAGACATCGGAAGTGTTTATATATGCAAGATAAATTCGTCGAATATTTTATAATAACGATGTACTCATAATCGACACTGATTATGATCATCAGAGAATCGGGAGTATAATTTCAGTGTTAGGTTACTGATCGATAATGCCAATCACAATTCCACGATTATTATGTTATCGGTGAGTATTACTTTCATTATTTTTATTATCTTCTTACTTCTAATATGCTAGAGTAATGTTTTATATATAGTGATATTTTTTGTATTGAATTGAATGTTTATATCAATTGTATTTTTTGTCACGTTTACAGAAAATTCTCAAGCAATTACAACATAGCTCCATTAGCTTGAGATTTAAATAACCATGAGCAGTTTCTAACAGTCGTAATGGGGGGAAACGTGTTTGAATTTATACCATTGTACCATCAAAATGGAAGTGGAAGAGAAATATGTCATTGGATAACACATATCAAGTTGTCAAGGATCATAGTGTTAACTTCTGCAGTTCTATTTATTGTACCACTATTTACTCATTATTATTTGTCAAAGGTAATGATCACTCTTAATAATTTGCTATAGTACAGACTACATAAGATATTGTAATATGTTGAGGATTGTAGGTGGAATCTGATTCTTCAGACAGAGATATTTATCGCACTTTTTCCACACTGGAAGCTTTTGAAGATTTTACTGCTATGAAAGCTGCTCAATTGAAAATGAGAATTGAAGAAATGATACGTATAAAAGTTTCTGTAAATAACGAGCTCAGGGACTTGAGTTCGAAAAGACAGAAACTTCAAGTTGAAGTCAGTAGTTTAACTCAAAAGATAGATGAACTGAAGCAAGAGTTGCTTCATCAACAGACAGATCTTGACAGATTAAAAATCAGTGTTGAACAGGCACAAGTGGCTCAGAGGGAAGCAGTGGAAAGGAATACACCAGAATTGGCACCTCCCAAGCGTATATTAATAGCTTCTGCTCCTGTAGTATTACCAAGTACTGCACCATATTTATGCAGAATGTACAATTGTTTTGATCATAGTCGTTGTGCATTAACAAGTGGTTTTCCAGTCTATTTGTATGATCCAGACCAGTATTCGGTTGTAAATCCTGGCTGGGATGTAGATGGGTTTTTGAAAACTACCATAAAACAAACACTAGGTATGCAATTATATGTTTGCTGCTACTTTTTATATTTTAAATTGTACTATATGTTTTTGTCTAACAGGATACAATCCGCATCTAACTGTAAATGCAGCTGAAGCTTGCATATATGTAGTCCTCATAGGAGAAGCCCTTTCTGCTCAACAAAGAGTTGATAAGAAATATAGGAAGCCTATAGATGTAAAAAAATTACACGCACTTCCTTATTGGGGTGGAGATGGTAGAAATCACATTTTATTAAATCTCGCACGTAGAGATCTGTCTGTAGAATCTGGCAATATTTTTAGTGATATAGACACTGGAAGAGCTATAATAGTGCAATCAACATTTTATAGAAATCAATTTCGCGAAGGTTTTGATCTGGTTGTTCCTCCAATTTTGGGACCCCCAGGTGGTGATGTATGGCAAGAATGTGCTCAAATCTTACCCGCGAGAAGGAAGTATTTATTGTCTTTTCAAGGGGAAATGAGATCTTCAAAAGCAACAACCATGACACATCAGATTGATGATGCTGATGTAGATTTAGAAAGATTATCAGTCGATGAGAATAATCTTGATGCTTTTATTATCCAACATCTCAAAGATATGAGCACTGGAATGACCTTGGATAAATTCTTTATTCAATTCGAATGTATACCAGCTTCGGAGGAAAAAAATGTGGTTCAAATTCTTGACTGGTCTCTCTGTGGAACAGATTCTTCGAGGAAAGCTATTTTAAAGGAGTCTACGTTCGTCTTGATTCTAGCACCCAGCAATGCTTCTTTTGTAACTACGTCGTCTATGCAAGCTAGATTATACGAAGCTTTACGGTCGGGTTCCATTCCAGTTTTCTTGGGCGGTGATCAAATTTTATTGAGTTATAATGAAGTCATTAGTTGGCGCAGAGCTGCAATTTTTTTGCCCAAGGCTAGAGTAACGGAAATGCATTTCCTGCTGCGCGCCGTGCCCGACACTGATCTCTTGAGTATGCGTAGACAGGGCAGATTGATATGGGAACGGTATCTGAGTACAGCACAAGGTGCAGCAGATACTATTGTAGCAGTTATTAGGGATCGACTGGGTATACCTCCATTACCAGCACCACAAACTGCCAGTCCAAGTGTCTTTAACGAAAGCTTTGTGGTAAACATTGTAACATACAGTTGTGATGTTGATCTTTCATTATTCGTAACTATTTTACATTCTTTTAGCCTTTAAAATCTGATGCCATTATTGCCGAGCCGGAAGCGGAAGAAAGTTTGGGTCCTTTGGAACCACCTTATCCATCTCCTGCTTTTAAGAGAAACTATACCACGATGTTACTTCAGAGTCATGAGATTTGGAACGATTGGGTAGATCCATTCTATTTATATCCACAATTGCCTTTTGACATCGTACTTCCTAGTGACGCGAAATTTCTTGGTAAATAATATTGAGCGTGTTCGATGTGAAAACTTTTCATTGATATTGTACGAACTTGTAGGATCCGATGTGGGATTCAGGCCAATTGGCAAAGGTGCAGGAGGTGCGGGTAAAGAATTCAGCGAAGCTTTGGGTGGAAATTATCCACGAGAACAATTTACAATTGTGATGTTAACTTATGAACGAGAACAGGTCCTTATAAACTCATTGGCGCGTCTGTACGGATTACCATATTTAAATAAAGTTCTTGTAGTATGGAATAGTCCAAAACCACCAGTGGAAGATTTAAAGTGGCCAGATATTGGAGTCCCAATTCATGTAAGCTTTCATTAGTCTATAAATAAAATTCCCTCTCTGTATAAATCAAAATTTCTTTTCCATAGGTCATAAAGGCTCCAAGGAATAGTTTAAATAATAGATTCCTGCCATTTGATGTTATCGAAACTGAAGCTGTTCTTTCAATTGACGATGACGCTCATCTAAGACACGATGAGATTATGTTTGGATTCAGGTACTTCTCTTTTACGTTAGTTATATTATATTCCGAAATTTGTGTGCCTAATTTACCGGATTAATCTATAGAGTTTGGAGAGAACATCGAGATCGTGTAGTTGGATTTCCCGGTCGCTTTCACGCATGGGACCAGAATTATCATAACGCATGGAATTATAATTCTAATTACTCGTGTGAGCTATCAATGGTTTTGACTGGAGCTGCATTCATTCATAAGCATTACACATATCTGTACACTCATTGGTTACCGCAAGCCATACGAGATAAGGTTGATGAATACATGAATTGCGAGGATATTGCCATGAATTTCCTCATATCTCACATCACAAGAAAACCACCTGTCAAGGTCAGCAAAATAATGTCGGATGTTACGTTTTTACTATTATGATTAATGTATTAAGTATTTTTTATTTATATTTTTTTAGGTCACATCGCGTTGGACTTTTAGGTGTCCGGGCTGTCCAGTTTCTCTCTCAGAGGATGATACGCATTTCCAGGAAAGACACAAGTGCATTAATTTTTTCTCTCAGGCAAGTACTGTTTATTATTAATATTGGTATTCATAGAATAATTATAAATTTGCTTAAGTGTTTTTTAGTATTTATCTGTTGAATAATCATTAGCAGAACAGCATGTGGTTTTTAAATGTAGGGACCCTAATTTTTCATTTCAGGTTTTCGGATATATGCCTCTCTTAAACACTCAATATCGAGCCGACTCGATATTGTTTAAAACGAGGATACCGCACGATAAACAGAAATGTTTTAAATTTATATAAATAACTAATTTGTACATAGATATGCGCCCAGTAATTATCACTTGATAGAATTTACATGTTTTTGATAAGATTTTGACTGAATTGATACACGATATTTCGTATGAAGTATAACAACACCTGAAGTAAAGTGTTATAGACTTTTTTCGTCGTCCTCTGCTTTTTTAATGTACTTTTTATCGGTCTACGTATTGTTTGATCAAAATGCACATTTTAAAGTTAATAAAATTTGATAGCGGAAGTAATTGTACACGCATATATCATAGGGAATATAGAGCAAAATGGAATGAAACTTTTTATGTCGCTATACACATAAGTTATACCATACCAATTTGAACAGTTTATAGTGGATCGAAATAAACTTGTTTGTATGATAATTATTATGGATTAAGATAATCTTTGTGGGATAAAAGGCCGCATGAAAAATATAAACTATTGAGGACGTATACGATACACATGTGTACATATGCAGAACTCTACAAGGGTAGGTTGAAATGCATCCTAATTTATTTGGAATACGACCAATACGATCAAATCTTTTCAATGATTATCGTTATATATGAGGTGCGTAATAAATGCAATTGTAAATAATAATAGTATAAACTGCCTGTCGGAATCATGTAAATACAGTAATAAAAATGATTAAATATAACTGGGGGGCAATGTTGATAAACGAGTACAGGATTATATACGAATTTAAGTTCGAAAAAGTTGTGCTTTGTACTGAATAGTCCATCAATAATTTATAGCACTATATAGTAAACATTTTTCGAATTTTCATTATGTAAGTAAGTTATCGTTAAATCTACTATGCTTTGACAACAACTACATATTTTCTCAAAAACCATCACGCTCTTATAACGTGCCAAATTACTATTTTTACAGATCTTATCATAAGTTAGTTTAATACTCAGTTATTTGTTACTTTAGATGTTTATTTGCATAATTCTCTGAAAGACTATTTGTAAATACATATAGTATCGCACACTGTTTGATCTTGTACGATTAAAAATACAGCCACTCTAACATAATTACAATACAACGCAATCGTGCAGGTTGATACAACTTGTAAAATAAGAATACTTTGTAAATTTCATTTTATATTAAACTCTGTACAACCGATTGTAAATCGATCCTGATCCGTATTCGGGTTCACGTGCAAGAAAATAAATATATATTATTTATGATTGTATAGTGGAAGGAATGTACTCATCCTGATGTGAAAACAAAAAAAAATAATTAATCAGGGCTTGTGTTAATACCGTGTCGGCTTAACATTAATTTAAATGCGATTCTCGCGTCGGTGGAGAACCGACGACCGAGCATCTCTGGCTTCGTTCCAGATATCATTAATCATGCGTGCCCGTATATTGTATACCGTAAAAACAGATACACGGAACAGGTTGGCAGAGTCTACTGGTTTTGGGGCGGCGGTGGATGGCAGGATCATTTTAATATTATTTCCATTGATTGATCGACATTCAATATGCGAGCGGTCGTGGAAAATTCAAATAAATCACGAATAAGTTTCTTAAATATCTTCACGAACTTCCATTTATAAAATAATAATAGTTAAGTAGTGGCGTCGAATAATAGTTTCGACAGCAGAAGGCAGCGTAGAATGTCTGACCAGGTACCGTCCAATACTACTTTTACGTCGTACCGAAATGGTTACAGCGCCTCTTTTCTATTACTACAGTAAAATAATTAACAAACGGTAAATTAGTTACTTCAATGTAAGTTTAGGATTCGAAGTTTATCCATATAGAAAGTAATATTTATGGACATAACAGTGTGTCCAACAGGGAACGAGGCTATACTACTTCCAGACAAGGAAACTACAACGAACAATTATATCCAACTGTTAATTTATCAGTGATGTTTAAAACCTTCGTTATTGTTTTAAGTAGTATTAACTTGTTCTCTGTCAGACACACTGCGAACCAGGTGTCAGTTATTCATTTGTTCAAAATTTTAGTTATTCTTCTGTTACTTATGTTTCATTTAATCAACAAATTGATCCATCCAAGCTTATTCCCGTATCCGCGTTACATTACAGTAACTTTGTTTACTGATTCCTAAAGGGGCTGAGGGGGAGAATGAAAGCAACACACCGGACGGAAATTTCATAGCGGTCGAATTTAAATTGCAGACCAGGAATTTTAGAGTCAGAATAAGAGCCTTTTATGAGCGTTCCCTCTCTTTCCGGTTAAACTTCTCCAGATCCCGTTGGTCCCGCTACTGCGGTCCAAAATTCCGCCCCCCGTAAACGAGGGTGAATTTCGGGCAGCGTACCAACTACGACGAAACTTCGTCAATGTCGTCGACTATTACGGTTAATGTCCCGGAACCGCGCGTAACGAAACATTGCCGGCTTCCAACTTTAACTCGCTCACTCCCCCTGTTTAAGAGGTTAAATACCGGATCTACATCGTGGAAGACGATTCGTCTCGCCAGACCATTTACGTAAATAACAGGGCAACAGTCGTCTTCGGATTCATACTTTCCCCGGGGTTCCTCCTGGCGGTTCTAGCCGATGCCTCGTCGTTGCTCGATAGCGTTTCGAATTCGCCGCCAGAGAACGAGCAAAGCGGCACCGTTGCGGCGGCGAACCCCATTGGCCTGTACCACGATCAATACGGGGTTTTCCATGACGTAAGTGCGGCTTGTGGTCCTTATTGGTTCGGACGTACGCCGCATCCCATTATTTATTAAGACCGCATGAATGGACGCTTTTCGGGTGCATCTGGTCCAGCCCAGAGGAATCGGTTCGCGTCTGGCACGCACAACGACGGCTCCATCGCCGCCCTGCTGATCTCTCATATGTTCCGCCTAGTGAACGGAGATGCACACGGAGGAACCCCCGGGGGATGGTTGCAGTTGCGGGGCCTCGAGGGTCCGTGGAATAACCAACACGGGGACGAGACACGCGGCCTCTGAGAGGTCTACTTTCGGACGTCTATCCCTCCTCCACCTTTTTGGGCACATGTACGAGAAAACCAGAATTCGCGCAGGCAGGGTGGTGGTCTCCGTAATGGACGAACAGGGAGGGGAGGAGTAGCGGTTCGCGCAACTGCGATCGTAGACGAGAGAGAGAGACGAATCGCGGAGGTTGTCCTCCGCGCGATGAAAGCCATCTCTCGGCTTGTACCGTTCAGTTTTTGCTCATGGACGGTGAACCGGGCGATATACCGGACAAACACGAAGCCCACCTACGGTTGACCGACGGCGACGCGATTTCGTACACGGACGATTCGAACAGGAAGTCGATTCGCGGCCGGAAATTAGCTCCCTTCGCCTCCCAGACCGGGTTGCCTCTTCGTTCAGCCCCGTGTTGCGACGAAGAGGGTTGGTGCAGGAGGCGGTTGCGCGCGCGTGTGTGTGTGGGTGCGCGCGCGGGTTGTGGCGCGAGAGAGCGAGAGGGTGGGCGTACGGTCGAGGGAAAGGACGAGGTAGATGGGAACTAGGTATAGGGAGTTCGGTAGAGGGAGAAGGATGTAGGCGTTTGATTGGGCGGTGGGAAGGGGGGATAGGCTAACGGGGTGAGTACGAGAGAGACAGAGTGAGAGAGAGCGAGGAAGAGAGAAAGAACGAAGGGAACGGAAGCGAGACGGAGAGAGACCCCGACCCGAGTCAGTGAGAGAGTAGTACCAATCGCGGAGCGTTGACGGACATAAGCGGCGCTAGGGGTGTGGAATAAGCTCATTCGTGTGTTGTTCTTGCGTCGAGCGTATAGGGATGGGAAACGCTTGAAACACGGAAGTGAAAGGAATTATTCGTACGCGGTACTACGGGTTCGGCCATACTCTCGCGACAGCATTCCGCCCGTTCGTTCTCTTTTAACGTGTGCACGCGTGTGTGTAGATATAATCAGTGCGAGAGAGGATTGGCCAGCGGATAACTACTCTAGCTCAGCGATAACATCGTCGTCGTTGCTGTCGTCGGTGGGTGAGTTTGTAACCTGAACTGCAGACCATCGGAGAAGATCCATATTCCTGGGTGGTGGTAGCCAGATGATATTCCGGGGTTCAAGAGGACGTGAAACGATCCCAGCATTTTTTACACGGGGGACGCGTAAACGGAACGGATCAGAACGCGAAGGAAAACCTCGGTAGACAGCCGGTGGTGCTGGTGGTGGTGGTGGTCAGCTGGGAAAACGGCGCTTCTCGTGGGTGTGGAACGATCCGGTCTTGCTGGGGGCGATTGATTGTGTGGGTGTCGCGGTCGCTGCAGAGACGTCGAAAAGCGCCATCGTTGTGTCGGCCGCCACGTGAATCGCGGAACAGTAAAGGGGAATATACTTGTGGCGTTTGAATTATCGTGACCGAGGAAACAAGTATACGTGGGCGGTGTGTGTGTGTGTGTGTGCACCGAGCGAACGCACCGTGGGATATTACCAGCATCGAATTAACCCCGATTTTTTTTTTGACGAAGAATCTGTACACCATCTCAAGAGATATCATCATGGTTGTGAAGAATTGTTGACGAACCTGGTGGAAAGACTGGATCAATTTGAAATTGTGTTCGACGTTGTACACCGTTGGTATCGTTTTTCGTCGATCCAACAGCAGACGGGTGTTTTCTTACGTATGATATATTACTTGTTAAGGAGAAATAATACGTCCAGACTAGGGGATACCTAGTGACCCGTTACCCCAACTCAGCAGTCGATGGAATTCGGAAGACGGTGACCCGGGGAGACGAAAGGAACATCCGACCACGTAGCCATTAATACAGCGTTCTCGATCGGTCTAGCGCGGTCCGTTTACGCGACGCTACTCCCACGATAAATCCACGGGACCGATTTCTCTCTTTTTTTCTCTCACGTTCAAGAGCCTGGCGAAGAAGCGTTCACCTGCACTCCCGTCCTCTCTCTCTCTCTTTTGTGTTCGCCCCCCTGCAAAGTTCAAGAACCCGGACAGGGGGTAGGAGGAGAAGGAGACGAAGGAGGGCCTTTCCTTCGTGTGTATGTGTGTGTATGTGTGTACCGGTAGAAACGAGCGCAGCAACGGGCCACCCGTGACCCG